AATCCATGAAGTTTGAATTATTAAATGAGTTCAGAATCTATTTGTATTGTATAATATCAACCATAGCTCATACTTCACCGCATATGGATTTCCATTGAGGAAGTAGAACACAAACATCAACAGAAGCCCATCTCTTCAAGTTACAATTTATCCCTAAAACTTTGATGTTCATATATTTGATAGTGGAAAAATGTTCATTTAGGTAAGAGACCAATAAATGGAAATGGAAGAATAATTTACGTTAACGCTGATTTTTTCAATATATACTTAATTTTTTTCTCAATAAAGAGTATGGCTTATTTTTTTTAGATTATTTTTTAATGTTCATTTATTTTTATCATGGTAACATTGGTTAACAGCACTGTATTTGATTTGGAAGTACAATCCAAATGTAATATTACATTTTAAGATGAACTTTTATTCATTATCCTTCTGTAATTAATATTTTGGGCAGTTATAAAGTGAGTCAGGAAATTAAATATTTAATTATGCATATAGAAAAGATGGTCAAAACCAACTCCTCTACCATTTTAAGATCAAATGCATTAAATAATTTCATTCTTTTTACTAAGCACCTAAAATATTGCTGTTAACTGTGACAGTCCTAGAAATACCCACTCTTGGTGGTTGATTAATAAATAGAATTTGAAATGGCTTAGGAAAGAGTCTTAGAAAAACTTCTAGGAGTACATTAGTTCTAGTTCTAGACTTATCCCTTTCATCAGCCTGCCCCCCAGCATTTGGCAGGCAACTTCTCCTCACTGGACCAGTAGCTTGTTTTCAGTCACAGTCCAGACTTTTAATAGTTATTATGTCTCCTTTGCTAGCAGCTGTTTAATTTGGTTTTTGTGTCTTTCTTTCTTTAATAGTCTGATACATAATTCTGCATGTCAATGCATTTGCCAGTGGATGAAGAAGCCTTCGTGAGTAAGTATTGATTGGGTGGTGTAGGGTGGGAAGTGGAAGGAAGGGCAGCAATTTGAAATCAGTGAAAGGTTCTTTTTGATGGTAATGAAGATATTAGTCTTTTACTGTCAGTTCCTAAAATGTATTTATCATGACTAATGTGGAAAAAAAAAAAAACTAGAGAGAGCTACAGAGAGACAAGATTACAAACTGTATCTGGAGAGATTGGTGAGTAATAGTAGTTAAGTTGTTGCATGCACATGTCGATGGCCGCCAATACCAGGTGGTCCCATTTGTATAGTATTGGCTTTCTTTCTGTGTCTGGATGCTTAATTCCACTCCATTCAACAGTCTGTTTATTTACCTGCCGGTTCATGCTATAAATCGACTGCACTTAGAATCAACATTGGAGAATGTAAGATTTTACCTGTCAGACAGGTAGCTAGATAGGAAAAAAGGAAGGAGAGATTGAGAGACGAAAGAAGGGAGGGAGAGTGGAAGGCAGGAAGAAGAAACTTTGAACTATAGTTTATATTATAGAATGAAAGGATTCTCAAATGACAGTTCCTTCCCCCAACTGAGTCTTTAAATCAGATAGGAAAAGTGACAAAGCACCATCTGTTTTCATCTTAGTTGTTTTAATTTAAACATCCCTTATGACAGACTTTTTAACTGTTTAGGGAAGGTGTGATGGGCAAATTATTCATGACTTTGTCCTCACTTCACTCCGCTTCACTTCTCTGGTTTGAGATGTTGGTTTTCAGGAGAAAGTGATGATAATGAGAGTTGTACTTTGGTCCCTTGAAACTAATCTTCAAGTGGCTGTCGGAGGGGACTATTATGTGAATTGTAAAATGTATACAGTAGCCTTCAGGCATCCAAGGATGAATTTTCATGAGGTGTACCCCATAGGAGTATACGTTCCCTACCTGCAAAGACAGAGCAATGTGCATTTCTTTCCCTCACACACTTTGGTGGCAATCAAAACAGAAAATAACAGCCTATACCAACACTCTCTAAACAAAATTTTCTGCATGCCTAATTCTAATAATGAAAGTCAGAGTTTGGGATGTTAAGCATTTCCTGATTGTTTCTTTGTATGATATTTAAACAATAATAAGGAAAACGTGAGGAAGGTTAGCACGCCCAGATCCTGAACTTTAAAGACAGAAAAATGATTTAAGTTCCTAATTGTACACCAAATATGATTTAGGATGTAAATTCATCATGGAAATATTATTTTTAAAGATTTATTTATTTATGCATACAAGAACTGGGGTACAGGCCAGAGGTATGGGGGGTGAGAGGATTCACCAGAGACAGAGTGGGGAACAGAACAGGCAGACTGACTGAAATACACTGCTGAGGGAAGCAGCGGGCGAGTCAGGAGAGGTCTGCGGCGCCATGCGGGTAGTTCCCTGGCCAGGGATCAAACTCTTGCTGCATGTCTGCGGACTGCTTCATAGTGCTGCCTGTTAACCCCTTGCACCGCCAGGGAAGCCCTCATCATGGAAATATTAACAGTAAAGCTTTC